GTGTTCTAAATACTGTAACTACATTTTTAACATTTGTTTTTGTAATACACATAATGTTTCTGTAGACTAATTGTGGGGCCGTTGAGGTGGTCCAGGGGGTAAAAGTACTTGCTATCAAGGCTGACAGTGTATGTTTGACTCCTCCCTGAACACACATAACACACATAACTGACTCAACAAACCCAGTTCCTGTGTAAAGTCAAAATCCCCTGACCTCTGAACGAGTGCCATGACCTGAGTGCCCCAACCAAATCAATAAACCAATGTAATTTATTAATTAATTTTCATTTCTTTTCTAGTCCAGGAACTGTTAATCTTCTCTCATCTTTCCCCCACGTCTCTGTGATAACTGTCTCTCCTTAGTTATATTTCCGGTCACATTCCTTCCTACATCTGTGCATACACGGCCACGCAGCCATCTGGCTCCTGTGGTGTGAGGTGCTCAGCACTCTACGGATGCGTCTCGTGGATGTGGATACCTGATGTTAGAGGCAGAGCTACCTTATTTAATCGATGTCTAGTGTTCCATTATACGGATGCGTTACATTTGTTTAATCCCAGTTAATACTCTCTTCAGGTATTTTCATATTTCTTTGGTTCAAATAACTGTGCCTACTGTATACGCTGACGATTTGTTAAACTCTATTTCTCATTATCTATTTTTCATTTATAAAATATTCAAATTAGAAATATTTAATTAATTAATGGTGTCTTGTGTTACTTCAAAGAATTACGAAACAAATGTATGTTTTAGCCCTTACTACAATGTCAACACTTTTGTCTAAAAGTTTATTTGGCACATATGGTTCACTGGACATTCTCACAAATTTGATACTGGGTCTCTTTATAGACAAAATAACTTGCCTTGCTTCCTACTTCATTTACGTAAGTTGATGATTAGAATAGTTAGAGTGTTAGCCCATGAACATTTGATATTTTATTTAAATATTTTATTTAATATTGATTCATACATATTATGTATTTGGAACAATCCACCCCTTACTATCTTTGCTCAAATTCCTTCACTGTACTCTCTCACATTTTTCTCCCCAATTATCGATGTTCTCTCTCTCTCTCTCTCCTCTTCTCTACTACTCACCAAGTCTCTTGCATAGGATCTTTCAGCACAATGAAAGCTAGCAAGTAGGAGTCTAGTTTTCATGGCAGTACCTACATGCATCTCCATATCCTATGACTCAGGTATGTGGTATCTTCTGAAATAGGGTCTTACTATCAAGTTCTGGAGAGTCACAAGAGCAGTGATAACAGTCTGTAATGTTTGTGGGCCTATAGAACTCTGATGACCAACAGTGCAAATAGAGGTAATGTGTACCTGACACTGGGCTTTTATTTGATAGCTCCTGGTATTTGGGGGATGTGTTGTCTGCCCCATTACAAAATAACTCCTTTTAAATATTTCTTGATTTGCTGCCACCTTTGGAAAGAGATGTTCTTAAAATCTTTGTATAAAACATGCCCCCTTTTGTTACAAGACCAACCCATGTCTCTTCATTGATTTTCTCTGTTTGGTTTTACAGATAATTAACAGAAGACACCAAGAAATACTTATTGCCAACCTATCTGATCTTTATTACCCTGGTGACACACATCACAAACATCCAAAATGGATAAATTGTAAAATATACCATTGTAAATCTTCCCTCAAAGAGGTACAACTCCCAACTCTCAGAACAAGTATGCTTCGGGCTGCCCTCTCTAATAACTCTGTTTCCCACAGAGCAAAGGGCTTTCAGTGCATCACAAATGCTGCACTATTGTTCTTAGCAGCCCAATCCCCAAACTCTCATTTCTGATATGCTGCAGAATGCCACGCTCTGACCCACTCATTTAGTGCACACACTCATGCCATTAACATGAAGCTTTCTGTTTTGACATTTAGTTGTTTCAGAAAATGGGCATTTGATTCATGGGACATAAATCTTTATCTCCAGAGGGCTGAATATAAAACAGCAAGATGTGTGGAAACACTGTGTGTTTTAGTAGACTCCTTTACTTCAGTCACTTGCTAACACATTTAAACTGATAAAGTGTGCAGCACAGATTTTTCTTTTTGTCATGTTCCTCCCCAAATTTTGTCTTTGTACATTTCTTTTATTCATTTTTTCTACATTTTTAAGTGGTATCTTCCCTCTAGTGATCAAATGTGCTTTCATTTTCCTTAGACAAGACTGACTCAGTATCATCATCACTGGCTGTAACTAAGACAGTGATTCTCAACAGATTTTTGTCTCTCTGTCTATAATAGTTCCTGTGCATAATAAGAAGGTATTATAGTACATAATATGCTTCTGGCCAATGGGCTGCTAAAGGACATGAAGGAGGGGATGTCAATGGTATAATACATACATATGTTGTATATATATATATATATATATATATATATATGATCTCTCTCTCTCTCTCTCTCTATATATATATATATATATATATATATATATATTCTTAATTACAACCTTTTCTGTGTATAATATCACTTGTGGGTATGTTTTCTGGGATGACCATCTTTTACTGGATAACCAATTGGTATGGTCTTCCCTAGGGAGGACTATTTCTTCTTCTTTCACCACTCTTCATGTTGGCTGTAGTTCATCAGTTCTTCGTGTAGAGTTGAGACCTCATGGGCATTTTTCTGGTCCACTTTAGCATGTCCATTGTCATCCTTGTTCTACTCATGCTAAAACAGTCATGTTGCATTTTTTACAACAAGTTGTGCAATGTTTTTTAACCTGACCCCTTAAGCCTTTAAGAATCAAATTTCACTTTAATAGTTTTATGACCTTTACTCTGTATGAATTAATGTGTTCAGTGTTTTGCACTTTGCTCATTGCAAGCTTACTTTAACTCCATTTTTATTTTTCCTGCTATTCCTCTCCCCCAACAGTCTCTTAGTTATTCATTACTGCTTCCATCTTATTTTCCTATATTTTCAGCACTACCTTTGCCAGTCTCTTTAAAAATTTCATTTTTCTTCATTTGCTTTTTCTTGGATAGAGCAAGATATTTCCCTATCACTCTGTACACATTATCATCTTTATTTGTAACTATCAACAGGTCTTTATAGTTCCTTATTCAATAATCCCTGCTTTTATCTCTGTGGAGTTTTTCCACAGGTTGCTAGGGGACACAACTCTTTCTACAGTCATTTACTTTACAATTTTTTCCATGGGTTGTTACTTGTTTATACACTGTAATAAACTTAAAATACTGCTTCGTGCTGGCCATATATGTCACTTAGGGCTAGTACAGGTCTGGCCTATGCAAAGCAGCACAGCAGTTCGTTGAATCAAGGAACATTCCCATGAAAGCATCCTGTGTAATTGTTCTGCATCCCCTTCTCTCGTTTTGATGTCCCCTGAACATCGCTTCACACTATCTGTACATCTCTTTCCCTAGTTGTTTTGTTACACAAATATTCCTGCACCTCCCAGTGTAATCCCTCAGAATACGGACCCCCTTCTTATTAAATCCTTTCTGGTGTTTAACAGGTGAACAAGTGCTTAGATTCCTCCAAGAATGTGTTGAGATTCAAGGACACAGGAGGAAAAGGTGTGCATTGAGGTGTTCAGAAGGTAACAGACGAGACACACTGGAGCCATGCACAGGTGCGGTAAGTGTTTTGTTCTTATAGTAAATAAATGTCCCAAGGAAATGTGACTGCAAAAAGTTTTAACAGATAAAAGGGTTTAGAAAATGTTCTTACCACAAGAAAGTGAAATTGAGAAAACTATAATTATCTACACTGGCGTCAATGCTGGTCAAGTAATGTAAAACCCCCAAATTATCATATTGAGAATTTTTGATTTGCACTCCAATCGTTTATAAAAACATGACAAAAGAAGGGTGAATGAAGAAAGAAGGATCAGTCTGGCTCTTTCTCAGACAACTAGGAAGAGTGCTTCCTCAAGATCCAGCTATACCACTTCTAGGCATATATCCCAAACACGCTCAAGTACACAACAAGAGCATTTGCTCAACCGTATTTGTAGCAGCCTTATTTGTAATAGCCAGAAGCTGGAAACAACCCAGATGCCCCTCAACTGAGGAAGGGATGCAGTAGTTGTGGTACATCTACACAATGGAATATTACTCAGAAAAAAAAAAAAAAAAACAACAACAAGGAAATCATGAAATTTGCAGGTAAATGGTGGGAACTGGAAAAGATCATTCTGAATGAGATAACCCAGAAGCAGAAAGACACACAGGGTATATACTCACTCATAAGTGGATATTAGACATATAATATAGGATAAACCTACTAAAATATGTATACCTAAAGAAACTAATCAAGAAGGAAGACTCTGGTTAAAATGCTTAATCCCCATTCAGAAAGGCAAAGAGGATGGACATCAGAAGAAGGAAAAAACAGGGAAGAACAGTACAGGAGCCTGCCACAGAGGACCTCTGAAAGACTCTACTCTCAGGGTATCAAAGCAGATGATGAGACTTAGGGCCAACCTTTGGGCAGAGTGTAGGGAACCTTATGAAAGAAGTGGGAAATAGTAAGACATGGAGAGGACAGGAGCTCTACAAGGAGAGCAACAGATCCAAACAATCTGGGCACAGAATATCAGTCTTTTCTGAGACTGATATTCCAACCAAGGACCATTCATGGAGATAACCTAGAACCCTTGCACAGATGTAGCCCATGGCAGTTCAGTGTCCAAGTGGGTTCCATAGTAATGGGAACAGGGACTGTCTCTGACATGAACTGATTGGCCTGCTCTTTGATCACCTCCCCCTGAGCAGGGAGCAGCCTTACCAGGCCACAGAGGAAGACAATGCAGCCACTCCTGATGAGACCTGATAGACTAGGATAAGAAGGAAGGGGAGGAAGACCTCCCTTTCAGTGGACTGGAGGAGGGGCCTGGGTTGAAAAGGGAGAAGGAAGGTGGGTTTGGGAGGGGAGAAGGGAGGGAACTACGGGGGGGGATACAAAGTGAATAAATTCTAATCAATAAAAATTAAAATTAAAGCTCTTTGCCCCATCTACTGCGAGAATGAAGACCATTCTCAGCAATCAGATGGTTGACATCCCAGAAAATGTCGACATCACTCTGAAGGGGCTCACAGTCATTGTGAAGGGCCCCAGGGGAACCCTACGGAGGGACTTCAATCACATCAACGTAGAGCTGAGTCTTCTCGGAAAGAAAAAGAAGAGGCTCCGGGTTGACAAATGGTGGGGTAACAGAAAGGAACTGGCCACGGTCAGAACCATCTGCAGTCATGTTCAGAACATGATCAAGGGTGTTACACTGGGCTTCCGCTACAAGATGAGGTCTGTGTATGCTCACTTCCCCATCAACATTGTTATCCAGGAGAATGGGTCTTTGGTTGAAATCCGAAATTTCCTGGGTGAAAAATACATCCGCAGGGTTCGAATGAGGACAGGTGTTGCTTGTTCTGTCTTTTAAGCCCAAAAGGATGAATTAATCCTTGAAAGAAATGATATTGAACTTGTCTCAAATTCAACGGCTTTGATTCAGCAAGCCAAGAAGTGGGAAATAGTAAGAGCTGGAGAGGACAGGAACTCCACAAGGAGAGCAACAGAACAAGATAATTTGAACACAGGGAAAGAAGGAGAGGAGGACCTCCCTTATCAGTGGACTTGGGGAGGGGCATGCATGCAGAAAGGAGGGAGGGTGGGACCGGGAGGGGAGGAGGGAGGGGCTTATGGGGGGATACAAAATGAATAAAGTGTAATTAATAAAAGTTAAATAAAAAATTAAAAAAAAAACAAGGATATCAGAAAGTTTTTGGATGGTATCTATGTGTCTGAAAAGGGAACTGTGCAGCAGGCTGATGAATAAAGACCTAAGTTAACCCTGCTCCAGAAACAAGATCCTGAATTATAAGTTTGATTTGGGGTGTCTTTTGGAACAATAAAACTTACTGATTTGTTTGTCCTTGAAAAAAAAATTAAAATTAAAAAATAAGGAAAAAAATCCACATCCCATTAGTTCTTACCTTCTTTTTAGTATTGTTTACATATTTATTGTTGGTATGTGTGAGTGTGTTTGCCCATGAGCAGCATGGCACACATGCAGATATTAGTTTCCTCTTTCTTTTCATAATATTCTTATTGAGATGTGATGCACAATATGCATTCCATACAACTAATTCACTTATACTAAGGTTGGGCATAGTGGCACATACAAGTAATCCCAGCACTCCTTTAATCCCAGTGCTTGGGAGGCAGAGGTAGGCATATCTCTTTGAGTTCCGTGCCAGGCTTTTTTGCAGAGTGAGTTCCAGGAAAGCCATTGCTAACAACACTGGAGCCTAACACAGATGTCTTCTAAAAGACTCCAACCAGCAGGGGATCAAAGCAGATGCAGAGACTCACAGCCAAAATTTGGACAGAGCACAGGGAGTCTTATGGAAGAGAAGGCATGTAAAAGAATCCAGAGGGGACAGGAGGATGTCCCCTATCAGTTGACTAAGGAAGAGGGAAAGGGGAGAGAGGAGAAGAGAGAAGGACAGAGGGTGGGACAGGGAGGAGATGAGGAAGGGGGCTACAACTGGGATACAAAGTGAATAAATTGTAAATAATAATAATAATAATAATAATAATAATAATAATAGAATTAAAAAATAAAATATAAAAACAAAAACGAAGAAAACAATGAAAAAGCAAAGTTGCTTTCCTCTTTCTACCATGTGTTCTACTGAATTAAAAGCAGTTTATTAGGGTTGATAGCAAATGCCTTTACATGTTTAGCAAACTTGCAGGCCTTTCTTTTCTCCAATACTACTTTCTTCACTTCTTTTGTGCTTTCTCAAACTCTTCCTGCATGCTGAATATATCTTGGTTCACTCTAAAGACAGGCTTAAAAAAATCCCTCATATTCTGCTCCACTCCCAGATTTCTTGATTAGCTATACCATTTACCTAATAGCAAGCTTCTCTGAATCCTCTCTGTAGCTTTATGTCCAATGAAATGCACACGGGCCTAATGTAGACAACTTTAGTATTCCCTTTTTATTGATGACTGTGTCTCAGTATAAGAATAGGCGGTGCTTTAGGAAGAGTGTCTTGTTTTGGCTTGCTCTCAAGCCAATAAGCTGATTTAAGTGGAAATTGATAATCAAATGTGTACTGTTCAGTCAGCTCTGGAGGTGACCGAGAACTACTGATGGAAGAAGAGGCAGAATTTAAGCCATCAGGAGGGTTTATGATAAACAATTTATTTGACAGGCTCTATTTAAAGGAAAGATAATTTTGTATTTTCAATATTCACTGTCTCATCTTATTTTTCACATGGAAAATTGCTCATAGTTGTATTTATTTATTCCTCAGTTTGTTCTAAGAAAAGAATTTAAGATAGCTTATAAAGATATTTAAAATACATCAGAGTAGCATAATTAGAAATAGGTGAGAAAGTAGAAAAACAGCAAGGTTGAGAACCTAAAGTAGAATAAAAAAGATCAAAATATACCTATACTGTGACAAAAGTTTTATGTCTTGGTTGTTCTAAGATTTTCACTGGCCTCTGAAAGACTCTACTGATCCATGTATCAAGGCTGAGGCTGAGACTCATAGCCAAACTTTGGGCAGAGCACAGGGAATCCTATGAAAGAAGGGAGATATAGAAAGACCTGGAGGGGACAGTAGCTTCAAAAGGAGACCAACAGAGCCATAAAAACTGAGCTTTGGAGGCCCTGAAGAGAATGATTCCCAATCAAGGACAATGCATGGAGAGGACCTAAAACCTGGGTTCAGATGTAGCCCATAGACTCAGTCTCCAAGTGGAGTCCCTTGTAAGGGGAGCAGGGACTCTCTCTGACATGAACTTAGTGACAGGCTCTCTGATCACTTCCCCCTGGGGAGGTGTAGCCTTGCCAATCCATAGAGGAAGAAGATGCAGCCAGTCCTGATGAGACCTGATAGGCTAGTGTCAAATAGAAGGGGAGGAGGTCCTCCTGTATCAGAAGACTAGGGGAAGGGCATAGGGAGAGAAGAAAGAGGGAGTGTGGGATTAGGAGGAGAATATGGAGGGGGCCACAAACAGAATACAAATTGAATAAATTGTAATAAATGATAATGATAAAAAGGAAAAAAAAAGATGTTCACCAACCCATGTTGAAGGAAGCGAGTCTGTTATGACTTTCATGACATTCAGTGTATCAAATCAAATGAACCCTTGGGGACAGAAGAGGGTCATCTCCTCATAGTTCTTAGGGAAGACCATAAACTATAATGAATGACATTCTCAACAATGTCCTCAGTGTCCATGCAGTAACTGTAGTGTGTTTCATTCTATCACCCGGTGTGGCATTCTTTCTGGTCAGGCTGACGGCATCACATTAAAATAGAACCAAGCTTATGGCACTGCTGTGATGCTCTGTAGAGGCTGAAGGGATCAAAGAACGGTAATGAAAGAATGGATAGCTACATACTGCTTTGAATTATCTGCTTAGCATTATAGAGCATCAAATGCATGGATTGTTGCTGTGTTTTTCATGAGGTGCTCGATAAATGTGCATATCAAATTTGACTGAGATCCCTTTTGGAGAGAAATAAAAAATACTCTATCTCATTTAACCGATACTCTAATCCTTAAGCTAAGAGGACATGCCTTGTTTGTGCTAAAATAGACCAAGGCTATGAACATTTAGTAGTGATTTTTTTAATGATCTATCGAGTAGAACTGAGATAATACATGTGCCTGAAGATAATAAAAACAATAACTTTAAAATTATCAGAAAACAAGTATTTACTTAAGTGAATGAATTTAATGTATATAACATACATTTCTTTGTTCTTTTCATTTTCTTTTTTTTTTTTTTCAGGAGCGTAAGTTAGATTTATTTTGTGCTGCTTTCATGCCACATCTTATCCTTTTTTATTTTTTTATTTTTATTAATTACACTTTATTTACTTTTTATACCCCCATAAGCTCCCTCCTCCTCCCCTCCCGGTCTCACCCTCTCTCCCCCTTCTTCACGCATGCCCCTCCCCAAGTTCACTGATAGAGGAGGTCCTCTTCTCCTTCCTTCTGATCTTAGTCTATCAGATCACATCAGGAGTGGCTGCATTGTCATCTTCTGTGGCCTGGTAAGGCTGCTCCCCCCTCAGGGGCAGGTGATCAAAGAGCAGGCCATTCAGATTATGTCAGAGGCAGTCCTTCTTCCCATTAGTATTAGAGCAGTAAGAATATTTCCTGAGCAGGGGTTCTAGGTTATCTCCATGAATGTTCCTTGGTTGGAGTATCAGTCTTAGAAAAGACACTTGTGCCCAGATATTTTGGTTCTGTTCCTCTCTTTGTGGAGCTCCTGTCCTCTCCAGGTCTTACTATCTTCCCCTTCTTTCATAAGATCCCCTGTATTCTGCCCAAAATTTGGTTAAGAGCATCTGCTTTGATACACTGCTGGGTAGAGTCTTTCAGAGGCCCTAGATGTAGCCCATGACAGCCCAGTATCCAATTGGGTTCCCTAGTAAGGGGAATAGAGACTGTCTCTGACATGAACTCAGTGGCTGGCTCTTAGATCACCTCCCCCTGAGGTGTGAGCAGCCTTGCCAGGCCACAGAGGAGGACCTTGCAGCCAGTCCTGATGAGACCTGATAAGCTAGGATAAGATGGAATGGGAGGAGGGCTTCCCCTATCAGTGGACTTGGAGAGGGGCATGGGAGGAGAAGAGGAAGGGGGTGAGATTGGGAGGAATGAGGGAGGGAGTTACAGCTGGGATACAAAAAGAATAATCTGTAATTAATATAAAAAAGAATATTTCCTGTTGAAGTTTTCTGTGTGAATCACTATACTTTTATTTCTGCTGATGTCTGGATGTGGTGTCTGAGAGCTGGAGTGATGGGATTCACAAGGCAGCTCCATGTGGTACATTTTGCATTTAGAAATGTGACAAGCATGCTTTCCTTCAAGCCCGTAATGTGTGTCATGGTTCTGCCACGTCAGGATCATTCAGCTCTTTCCAACTTCCAACATCTCATTTCTATATTGTCAAGTTGACCAGGTTATCAGCATACAGTTTCTTTATGGATCCAGACGTCCACTGAATACATTCAAATGCAGGAATTAAATCATGCCATAAATGGCACTAGAAGAAAATACCAGGTTTCTGATTGATTTGCACCTGAGTATTCTACTGTGATTCCATTGTGAGGGTGGCACTCTTTCATGTGATAACTCGTCTTCTACACCAGAACAAGCTTTGCCATGTTTTCTGTAGGGAAAGGCACTCTTCTTTAGTGGGATCAGACCTCTAAGATGATTTGAAATGAATGACTTACTGAATCACATAAGAGTCCTAGTTCAATAATTGTGATTTGTGCTTTCTCAGGCTTATTTGGCCACTGACAAGTATCACATTAAATAGTTTTCTCTCCCCTTTTCTTGAAAATTCATGTTCTGAAGTTTCCAGGGAAAAAACCTTTTTGACAAAAGCCAACCTGCTTTCATAATAATCACTCTAGGGA